AGAGCAGTGGAAACTGCTCATTCTTTTATCTCCCCAAGACAGAACAAAATATTATCCCATCACTATTAGGCACTGCTATTGGGCTCCCAGCCTCTCCCTGTGGATCCCCCTCTCTCAGTCCATGACATACTAAATTTTAAAGTAGAAAACAAAATATAAATATTCTCTAAATTCTGGCATAATTCTAGATCAATGTAGACAGCAAGTAAAATATAGAGAGTCATGGAGTTAACCAAGCGGACACTTGTAATCCTTTCCCCATTCTTCTCAGGGCACATGGAGACTTTTCATATGTTTCCAGAGTCTCAGTCAATGACCTACAATATTGCTTAGACTTATAGACACAAAATTATTACAATTTCAGAGATGGCTTTTAAGTAGTTTGGAATCTTTTAATTAGTCGTTTCAAAGTTTCATGTCTTATATTATAGTATTTGGTTCATTTTGACTTTATTTTTGTACAAGTTGAGAGATAGGGATCTAGTTTCTATCTTTCAATATGACTATCCAGTTTTCCCAAATACACTTCATAAACAGGCTGTCTTTCATTCAAGGTATGTTTGACACCTTTGACAAGTTCAACATGAGTGCAGATTTGTAGACTTACTTGTGGATCCTCTAGTCTATTGAATTGGTCTATATCTCTGATTTTCTACCAGTACCATTTTGATTTTATTATTGCTCTGTAGCCTCATTTGATTTCAGGTATTGTGCTACCTGCAGAAATGTGCATTTTGTTCATTCTTGCTTTGGATATTTGATGTATTTTTTTGTTTCCTTATGAATTTTAGGATTTCTTTTTTCTATTTCTGTGAAGAATAACAAAAAGTTTTCTAGGAATTGAATTAAATCTCTAGATCACTTTCAAGAATACAGATATTTTAACAATCTTTGATTTCATTGATTTGGTCCATCTATTACTTTAATTTTGTTAGTCTGATTAAAGGTTTATCTATCATTGTAAATTTTTTAACTAGTCAAATTTTAGTTTCAATGACCTTTTACATTGTCTTTCATTTTATTGATTTGAGCTCTAAATTTAAGATTTCTTTATACTGGTAAGTAATGGAAGTGGCTTCTTATCCCTTTCCTAAGTCTTACAATTGTATCGTTAGTTTATGTATTACAGCTCCCTTTGATTATTTTAATGCAAATATTCATAGCTATGTATTTGTCTCTTAGAAAAACTTTGACAGTGTCCCACAGACTTGAATAATTTGTGTGTTTATTTTCATATGGCTCTAGGAATTTTTAAATTTCCCTCCTGATTTCTTCAGTGATCCATAGGTCATTTCAAAGCACATTGTTCAATCTCCACGTATTTGTAGGTATTCTTTAGTATCCCTTGGTGTTGATTTCAAGTATGAATGCATTGTTTTCTGAAGAGATAACTAAGCATCTTATTTCTTAAGTCTTTTAAGAAATTTTTGACTGCATTATCTGTCAATAGATAGATTGATAGATAGTTGATGAGAGGTGGATATTAAAATGATCCACTAATATTTTATGTTGACATATATATCCCGTTAGGTCCAATACAGTTTATTTTCTTAAATTTTGTTTTATCATTTCTACAACTACTTACATGCATGTACATTATTTGGGTTACTTCCTCTTCTGGTCAGAAACTCTTCCACCCTCTTGCTCTCTTTGTTGAAGAGAAATCATAAGAGTTAAAAAGAAATCTGTTGCTTTGCTAGATTGAGATAAAGATATCTATACAGAGAGATTCCTAGTGTGGTTACTTTGCACATGTGTATTACAACCCACTATGGTTCATCTCTAGCAGACCTCTTCACTACTTCCTAGTCCCCTTTCCATAAGGGCCTCTGCCAGATTAAGATTACTTTAACCACTTCTACACAGTGAGCACATCAACCATATTTAAGTTTTAGGTTTCCTTCCCTTTCCCTATTTCTCCCGTGCATGTTCTCCCCTTAGTGTGTGACCGATGTCCAATAATACTGCTGCATTTCTTTTAGGTCTGCTTTCCACATACGAGTGAGAACTAGCGATTTTTGATCTTCTGAGCCTGTATAACTTTGCTTAATATGATGTTCTCCCATTCCATCTTTCCAATGTGAAATGCCACAAAATTTCACTTTTTTGTGGCTGAATATAATTCCATTGTACATAAATACCACATTTTCATAGTCCATTCACCAGTAGTAGGGCCTATTGGCTTTTTCCATAGCTTGGCTATTGTGAATAGTGCTGCAAAAAAACATGGGTGTGCAGGTGCCTTTGTAACAAACTGAGTCCCATACATATATATATATATATATCCCTAAGAGTCATATTGATAGATCATTTGGCAAATCTGTGCTTATTTTTTTGAGAACTCCCCATGTTGTTTTCCATAGAGGCTATACTAGCTTACATTCCCACCATCAGTGTATGAAGGTTTCTTTCCCCCTGCATCCTTGCCAACATTTGTTATTGTTGGTGTTCTTGATGGTAGCAATTCTAACAGGAGTGAAGTGGAATCTTTGTGTGGTTTTGATTTCCATTTCCTTTATCACCAGACATGGTTAACAGTTTTTTATGAGTGTTTTTGAAATTTGGTCTTCTTCTTTTGATAAAGTTCTATTTTGTTCAGTTGCCCACTTCTTCATTAGTTCATTGATTTTGGGGGAATTTAGCTTTTTGATGTCCCTGTATATTCTGGTTATCAGCACCTTGTCTGATCTATAGTTACCAAAGATTTTCTCTAATTCTGTGGGTGTGCTCTTCAATTTAGAGACCATTTGTTTTATTTTACGGAAGATTTTTGGTTTTATGTAGACTCATTTGTCAAGCCTTTCTCTTATTTGCTGGGCTGCAGGAGTTCTACTGAGGAAGTCCTACTGCTTCCAGTGCAGTAGAATGTATTTTATAAAATTGGGAGCACCACTGATTGCTTAAAAAGTATTTTCAATCATTTTATATAACTCATGAATTGTTTCCTTTGTTAATATTTATTAATAATCTTCATCTCTTCTTACTAATTTTAAGTTGAAATCTCCTTTATCAGACATGTGTACAGACACACAAGAATGTCTTAAGATTCTATTCATTTGAAATATCATTTTCCATCCTTTCACTTTCAGGTGCCTTGACCATGAGATGTGTTTCAAGAAACCAGTGAACAATTAGATCATTTATTATTCAACAAATCAGTCAGCAGAACTGTGGTCTGAATGCTCTTACCCTATTCTAACTCTAAATCTTTCCAGTTTGTCTTCACCAGTACCCCCCTTTTCCAAAAGCTCTTTCTTATCTACCAACATGTTATCTGCTTCTCTGAGCCTCCATCTTCAAAACGTTTTTTGTAAAGAGAATTAATCCCAGGGGGGAACCTCATCTCACATATAAATTGTTTGATAGAATAATTGTTAAAAACTGTACAGACAGGTTTTTTAAAGTTAAAAATTTTAAAATAATATAAACTTGCATGTTTATAATATATATACATATCTATATGCAAACATGAATAGAGGCATACTTATTTACCATATGAGAGAGAGAGAGGGTATGAAATATTCTCCAAGATGTTTACTTGCTTCTTATCAGGTGCCCTTTTAAAGTGTGAGAATCTGATTCAGATTATCTGAAAGCATCTCAAGTACCAGTATGCTATTGGACTGGAAATAAAGGAGGAGCTGAAACAAAATATTTTATATATCCTCTTGATGCTTTTTTTACCTATAACTGAAGGCACAAAAGGAATCATATGCTCAGGGGCTCAGTTTATGTAGCTACTTGGCCTGATTACACATGCAGATGCTGTACTCTACATCACGTAAATACTTTCAGGACTGCATTGTGCACACCGCTGTGTCCTGGTCATCTGTGGGAAGTCCATGGATTCCACCTGATGTCTTCTCTCTACAATCAGGAGCAGCTTCCAGATTTGCCAGGAGACACTTTGAGAGACTGGCAGGGACCTCCACTAAATTAGCTTCTTCAGAGTAGCTAACAGAATGGGTAAATCTCAGTCTGTGTTTTCATTTGATGTTTGGGTTAATTTCTACCCATAATCACGTATTTTTGTATTAATTACAATGGTTATTTAAATTACAGAATAGAATGCTAGAATTTTTGAAAGATACATGAAAGCAACCAATTATATGTACACATAAATGAAGTACCTATATAATATTTCCTTTCTTCTAATGGTACATTGACTCAACGTAACAAGGTGCAATACTTTTTTCCTAGGAGCAGAAGAGAATAAATCCAATGAGTTTTCTCCAAACTGTTAAATGTTCAATTGCTCAGTACAGTGCTCGAGTCAACAGTTATCTGCTCATATCTATGTCTAATCTGTGCTCTGCTCATTTGTGCATATCCTGCAGCCAGTGACTAAACACCTTGTAGGAATGTCTAGAAGCCAGTTCTTCATGAGATTTTTCTTGTAGTGAAAATATTCTTATGATCCTTTGATACCATGCTTTAAAGACTTGTTTGTAGAAATTCCTCCCATATTTTATACGAAAGTTTTTGATTGCATCATTATTCTTGAATCAGTTTGATATGTTATCTCGACTGCATTTTATACAGAAACCATAAAAGTATAGTGTTTCCCAACCATGAATGCTAACAAAACTCTTTCAAAAAACTTGTTAATACAGATTATTATGTACAAGCACAACTTTCTGATTCAGTAAGTGAGCTAGGAAACTGCCTCTCTGTGAGATGAAACTTCCATTTCAAAGAGAAATTAAGTATTAATATGATCTTCACGTTCACATTAATGAATGAGCATGTATGTTAATAGGTTTTGAATAAGAACAGTCTTAAAGTTAGAGGAGGGGATCTCTGAGTCTCACTGTTGGTTTGCATTATTGGAGGGAGGTGTGCTCCACTCCATTATCAAAAGCAGAGAGGGGAGCACACAATTGGAGTAGCTACACTGAGAGATGGATCTGTCCAGGGAGAGACAAATGTGCTGCGTGGCCACAAATTCTGAACTGGACACTGCTCTGGATCCTCGTTTACCTGTCATGGAATTGACCATCTCACACCTTCACCTTCCCTTCTGCATGTTTGGGCTGATCCATTCTGAGAATATGAACAAGTTTTTGTAGCACTTTCCCATGGGTTTGGATCACTGTGTAAATGCCACTTCCCATAAACAATGCACAGTAATAATCAGCATCATCCTCCATCTGAGCTCCTGTGATGGTGAGGGAGGCTTTATTCCCTGTGCTGGCACCAGAGAAGCAATCAGGGACCCCAGAGAGGCAGTTTGTGCTATAGATAAGCGTGTAGGGAGCTTGGCCTGGGATCTGCTTAAACCAGTTTGGGTAGTAACCAGTAGACACTGATCCAGAATTAAGGCCACAAATGAGTATTACTGTCCCTCCTGGAGAAACCAACGATGATGACTCCTGGGTCACCACAGTCTGAGAATTCACCCCTGAAACAAACAAAAGAGACAGTTATTGATATGCAGAGAAGCATCACCCTGACATCTTGCTTTATGGGATCTCCTCAAGATTGTGAGTCCCACTGACCTGAACCATAAGTGAGGAGTTATTATGGCCATGGTGGGAAACTTAACAAGTACTGGGTGTTCTCAAACCCCTCAGTTGAGTTGATGTTCTCCAGGCCTTTTCAGGGCTCCTCCAACACATTGAAGGTTCTTCATGCCAATCAGCTTCCTCCCTCTTTCTGCAATGGTGTTCAACCTGATGTCCCAGGGGAGAGATCTTGAAGACTCAGAGGATGGAACATGGCAGATCACTTTCTACAAGGGGACATAGACATTAACATGGGGATTGATGCCTTTCACCAAATCAGCTGCTTCATACCCCCATTGACCTCAGGGCCAATCCATTCTCTGAAAGGCCTACTGGTGTGAGTGTTAAAAAAAGTACACTATCCATATCATATCTTGTTCATCTACTTTTAAACCAAATCAATACCCTGCCAGTGAACTTTTCTTACCCACAAGAGAAATGAATGCTGTTCCTATTTGGAGGTGACTAACAGGATCCTCTTTCTCCACAGAGACCCCATGTGAACCCTAAAGAGCAAGTCTGGAGACTCTCACTCTATCTCCTACATACTCAGAATTGGAAAGTGTCTAATTAGTTCCAGTATGGCGCAAGGTATGGGCGCAAGGCTGGGTATAGACAGATAGAACAGCACTACAAGGCTTCCAGTGATGGCTGCCTCTGCTCTAAGAAGACATGGATTATGTGGATGGGATTAAGGTGAACTACAGATTGATAGTAGACCACAAGAGAAATGAATGCTGTTCCTATTGGAGTGACTAACAGGATCCTTTCTCCACAGAGACCCCATGTGAACCCTAAAGAGCAAGTCTGGAGACTCTCACTCTATCTCCTACATACTCAGGAATTGGAAAGTGTCTTAATAGTTCCAGTATGGGCGCAAGGCTGGGTATAGACGATAACAGCACTACAAGGCTTCCAGTGATGGCTGCCTCTGCTCTAAGAAGACATGGATTGTGTGGATGGGATTAAGGTGAACTACAGATTGATAGTAGGATGATATTATGATCACCATAAAATAAGAGATCTCCTAACATCAAATATAATAGCAAAGAAAAACACGTGTCATATGATAGAAGAAAAGGTAACAGTATTTCTGAACAATTAGTGTCTATTCCTAGGCATTTTCAAACACCCTTTAATTCATCAGTTTCCTAAGCTGTATTTCAGGAAGGATAGTCAGGGCGAATATATATTTAAGGATTATCTCATATCACAAATATTTACTTTAAAGTATATTTTTGGGCAATTATTAATAGTATCTGCTACAGTATATACATGAATTATTTGTTTGTATGTTGGTTCCTGTGTATGTCATCTCTAACTGTGCATGGACATAGGTGTATGTATAATACAATAACTAAGTGGGATGCTACAAAAGCAACATAGAAAGAAACAGAAAGGTAATTGGAAGAAACCTTAGCAATATTACTTTGCACTACTCAATGTAAAACCCATTAAATTAAATGCAAATAAATAGATAAGACACGTAGACTGGATAAAAGAGAAATAAAATGTTAAATTATGTATCACATTTTTCATAGATAATAAACTAGGAATTCATAGTAACCAACAGGCAATTGTGAGTCTGTAGAGCCTGGGCAACTTCTGCAAAATTCTCACGCATCCTCAAGGCACAATGAATCAGAACACTTATTTTTCTGGGATAATTATCATGGGAAAGAGGAGCTGGAAGTGAGCAAATGACTGAGAATCTGGATATGGTGAATATCTTAGAGCCCTAGAATGCACTTGACCCAGGTAATAACTTTTCTGCGTTGTGTTTTGTACCTTCAATGACTGTGCTGCTGGATGCTGCCCCTGGATGCATTAGTGTGAATCTCACTGCAGGTAAACAGGACTCCATCATTCTCTCCAACCTGCTTCAAGTCCCATGCGGAACTGTTCTTGATTGTGAAATGTGACACTTGCCTCAGCACCTTTATACCAGCCTGTACTTCAGAGTCATGTTCACCGTCTCAAAAAATCCCAAGATAATCCTGTTTTCTGTCCAAATTTCCCTAGTGATCAAGACACGTCTTTTTCAATATAGTATAGATTCTAATTCCTAATAAACTGCTATACTCTTGGTGTAATTTGTGTGTTGTCCAAGGTCCGTATGTAAAGGCTTTGTCCCAAGAACTTGGTATTGGAAGACACTGTGGTCTGCTCAATTGTGGACCTAGTGAGAAGTCTTTTTTACTGGAGATGTGTCCACAAAGAGGACTGTTACATGCCAATAGTTCTCTCTTTCTCTCTCTCTCTCTCTCTCTCTCTCTCTCTCTGCTGCTTTTGCTTATTGTGACTCAAAGACCACTAATACTCCTATTGAGGTAATTTTGCATTTTTGAACCTAAATTATTATTTTTAATGACGAACTTGTTTTTTGTGTGCTTATTTTTCTTTTTCTATTCTAAAAATTAAATTATTACTGCTTTACTGAGAGTACATTGTGACATTTACAAAAGTTCTTACAATATATCACAGTTGAATTCATTTCCTCCATTAGTCTTGCTTATCACTCATCTCCCCATTCCTGGAATAGTTTTGAACTCAGGGGCTCACACTTGCTAGTCAATGGCTATACCATTTGAGCCATTTTCCCAGCTCTTTTTTTAATCTTGTTTTTGAGATTGGATCTCTTAACCTTTCCCAGCTCACTGATAACAGGGGATCCTTCTGATCCACATCTTTAGAGCTGGGATTCCAGTTATGTGTCACTTTGCCAGTTACAACCTTGCTTCAGGAACCAGGTCTTTAATCCTACTCCAGTTCCTCATGATAACACACTGCATTCAATAAGATTCTCTGCCAGCTTAAAATGAATGTTTTTAGTGCATTGGAAACACTTAATTTTTTATCATTTTTTAACAGGATATAGTCATTAATAGTGGAGGATTCATAGTGGCAATTCCAGTGAGACATATTGTACATGAGTTGCATTTCCTGTCTTCCCCCTCAATCTCCCTCCCTGCCCCACTTAAAGCAGTTGCAAGAGCTTTAGTTCTATTTCATGTAGGTATATGAAGTCCGTCAACCACATACCATCACCTTAATCTCCTTCATTCAACTGTCACCCTCTCAATAGTACATGCTACACACTGTACCCCCACACTGTACCAATTTACAGTGGGGATACATTGAAAAACTCTTTTGAACATCAACTTAAACTTTAATAATGTAAAACAGTCTTTAAAAAATATATAATTGGAATTGGTTTTGTTTTGTTTTGTTTTGTTTTGTTTTTTGTTTCTGCTTCCTTAATTTCTATTATTAGTCCCAAGCACACAGTGTTCCTGCTTAAGGTTCTTCAAGTAAATTAACTCCTTCTGTTAGGCTGCTCCCTGCCTGCCTATCAGTACTGAACAATCACTAGATGAGGGAGAGATAGTCGAATAGGAAGCAAGGATGAAAGTCAGAGGTCAGTGATAATGTAACTGCTGGGGACACACATGCAGGAAAGTCTCACTTCAATGGAGTCACGCTGGTTGGAGTATGTAAAAAGCCAGTTGAGTACATTCTTGTGTCACCTGGCCCAGAGCTCTATCTTCTCAGGACCAATACATCAGCGCCCTCTGCCGACCACAGATTCTGGGTTTTCAACCCCTCTCATATCCAGTGTTCAGGGAAAGGCCTTCTGATTATGGAAAACGATCTTTCTGACATCATTTCCCTATACAGAACAAAGAGTCATCTTTTCCACACTTGCTATTTGGTCCTGAAATACCAATCTTTTCAGGACTTTCATGACACAGTGCTTATGGTGCTACATTTCAGGGTTACCTGGCTATTGAGTTTGATTCCAACAGTTGCCTATGGTCTTTGGGAATCTTGTTTCAAAATTTAAATTTCAGGTAAAGATAACGTGATCTTTACCTGGTAATAATTCTGTCTAAAATGCTCTTACACATTGACATATTTTTGGATGGTGCTGTTGGAAAAATCTCTTACTGTCTTCTTCTTCACTTATGCCTGCCTTAATTTTTGATCCTGTCTTCTTCATGAAAATATGTTATTAGGGAAATATTCTTTCCATTCTGTCCTGCTTCCCTTAGTTCAAAATTTCCATGTATAGAAATCTAACAATAATTATTTTCTGTAGACTCTGATATTTTAATGTTACTTTAGCCTAGTTTCATATTTTTTCAATATTATATTTGATATAAAAAAGTAGTAGTATAAATGGAACCTCTTTCATTTATATTCATTTTCCCATTACTTTGAACTAAGACATCATCATGATGTGTACCTCATTTGGATGATGGCTTAATGAGTTTGTTTATTAAGAACTCCATGGATTTAATAGCAGTTAGCTTTACAATATTTATGTCAAAAGCACTGATATTTACCAACATCATTCAACTGAATGACAAGGGAAGGAAAAAATCACTGGAACTTTTGAGTAAATGAGCATGTGAGGGGTCTCAGAGCTTTGTTCTTGTTGCAGAGGGTTTACCCTAAACCTTGGACTAGGATGTTCTCCAGGTAGCCAAAATCTGAGCTTGAGTTTGTCATGGGCAGAGACACAGCAATGATGCCTCAGACAGGTGAATGGAGATTGTTATTTGAGTTCACCTTAGAATGGTGGTATTCTGTGGCTGTTGGGATGTAGCCTGCTGTATGACAGTGTTATTTGGACTCATTTTCTGTTTGGAGCCTAGAGGAGGTAAAAGAAGACATTTTGACAAATGTAGATGCTTTGATGAGGACTTAATACTTAATGGCCATTCACTAATGTCTGAGTCACAGGCTTAGGTTTCTTCCAGGAAGTCCATTGTACCAGTCCCCTTTATAACCTACAATGTTTCTGCTTCTTCCTGTGTAGAAGAAATACACCTCAAATCTGTGCATATCATGTGATTCACAGGGACTGTTACACATGCAGTTACCATGAAATTTCTGCTTATTGAAGTCTTTAAGACTCAGTCGTCCACCATGGATTTTTGGAATTCTCCACTGACTAGTTAGAGGACTGCATGGGACTAGTCAGTTGCTATGATTTCAGGAACCAAGAAAAATCCCTATTATGGTAAGTAATATCAGCTTGAGGAAGTGACATTTTTGGGACCTACTTTATCTAACATCTCAGGAGAAGTTTCAGTATTTTGTCATCGTGGTAGACGTTTCCTTCATTGGCTCACACACTCAAAAAGTGTTCTGGTTTCTGTCTGAACTCCCACTTCTACACAGGTAACCCCTTCTCCTTGATATCATCATTTGAAGGAGCAGGAAAACAACAGGTGAGCCATAACTGCCTCAGACCAGGAAGAAAGCTGATTTCTTCTTTCTTCCCAGAGTAAGAGCCAGGTTTATAGGCCCTCTTTAAAAAACCAGACATGATGTGGGTCATCATGCAAAGTGTTTTTCATTTGGCTTATTTTCATTTTTTTCTGAGATATCAGACCCATGGAATGCAAACTGGATGACAGCCATTGTGGCTCAGATTATATTTTTATGCACAGTTAGTTATTAGTTAATCAATTTAAAATTAGTAAAGGCCTATAGTCCACAGACCAGAACAGACTGGGATTTTGTTCCACTTCTCCATCTGCTTGTGCCACTGTGCAACAAACTATTATGGCCAATCAAACATTAACAGCTTAATTCTCAGCTTGCACACCAGAGATGTGCAAAAGTACTGAGATGGCTGAGATGTCTTTAGTTCCAGAAGAACTGCTGGGGACTCCTATGCTCTGGCGATTATCTGAGTCTGAGTAGAATCTCAGGAGAAACCTGTGAGGGTTCTCAGGCTTTTGCAGGTACCACTGCATCCTGTATCTCTCATATCACTATAAGAGTGCAAGTGAGTCTGATAGATGCTCCAGGAGATGTAGACAGGGTTTGGTTTAGTCAGCACTGTGTAGGACATGGAACCTGCAAAAACAGACAGTAATGGGTGTAGCAGTGAACCCACATTTAGGATGATGAGGATTTCAGCCATGGGGACTGATGCATGCTGGAAAACTGTCCTGAGTCTCTGTTACCTGTCCCTACCTGTGTAGTGAGACAGAAGCAGGAGAAGGAAAAGAGGAGTCAGAGCCATAGTGGACACAGCCTCTGACCCACAGAGTGGATTTTGGCTTTCCAAGCTTGTATTATCCTCTGTACTGCCTTCCAGGAAAAGAGGTTATCCATGCAAATTGAACCCTCCCAACATGGTTCCCTTTCAGTACACCAGGTCTCTGATACAAGAGCCTTAGAAGGGATCAGAGGACAAGGGAGACAGTGTTTTAACCCAGCTATTTAGTACAGGTAGCAATTGTTTGGAATATGCCCACTCCTTCCCCAGAAGCCTCTGTAGGCCCTTTAGAGTCTCTTGGAGCACTTGAGACAGCTCAGTCTCTACCAGAACTTAGGGCTGTGGGTATCAGTCATCTGCAACACCGTGAAGGACCAGGAACAGTTCCCCAACATTCCTGAGGTTCAGAGTTCCCTTAGGGTGCAGTGCTGAACTTAAGCATTATACATTTGATTGGATAGCCTGCTGTTCCTGGAATCCCTAATTGAGGAAGAATATGTAAGTACAATTTCATAGCCAGCAGTATGCTTTCTGTCATATGAGTCATGTAATTCAGGGAATAAGGTTGTCACACAGCAGATAATATTATGAATGTTAGAAGCTGTATAAAATGCAAAACATGAAAACAGTGGAGACTTACACTATTTCAAACACTGGAGATTGTCAGAGGAGCTCTCATTTAAGTTGGATATTAGAAACAAGCTAGGTACAGTTAAGAAAGAAGCAGAATGAAAATACTGTGTGCAAAAGTCCATAAACAAGGATGATTTGGTGTTTCTACAGACCAGCTAAATGATGAATGCCATAGCAAAATTGGAACTTGATGAGGATAGAAGATAAAAGGGATTCTTAAATGAATTAGTTTTTCCAAAAAATCAACCAACGAGAAGGGTAAAAAGAATGAAGACATTGGACTTTTAATCAAAACAATGTCTAGAATTGTTAAGCAGAAAGGCCTCTAGGGTAAGAAAGGAGGAAAATAGTATAAAACATATTGAATAACAAGTTGGATATTATGCATTTATTATTTTAGCAAATATGACAATTAGATTGTTTCTTCATTCATAAAATAGCCAAACACATGGAAAGAGTCAGGAATTTTGACTTCAATGTTCAGATAGACCTTACTGTGTCCTTGTGTAATAGGGTAGGACAATGTCACTATGTGTTGAAGTTGGCATTTGGAAATAGGAACGAGAAGTCCCTGATCGGGGAAGTGCATGAACAGAAAATCGAATCTAGGAATGAGGGTGGATACAGGACATTTAGTCAATGAACAAATGTTAAAATGACTCCTGAAATAGCTTATTAATGAAGGCTGACTCTTCATTATGTTGGCATTTTTTACTTAAGTATTTTTGCAATATATTTATTAACTGTATCTTCCATTCTGAGCTGCAAGCAGTAAGGTGATGTAGGTTTAGTACACACTGAAACTTCTTTTAATACCAAGGGAAAAGATTACATGGAGGCTCAAAGATATCAAAGATGAGTTCAATGCTGTCCAAAAGATGTTCAATGTGACATCTGCAGATATTTCCATTCCTTGAAGGACAGTGTTGAGATGTGCCATCAAGCATGAATTAAAGCATAGCATCCAAGTGAAGGTGGAGTGATGTGGACACTAGTTGTCTTAACGAGATGGGGGATGAAGAAAAATCTGGCACTCATTACTACATGGGACCAAACTTTCACTCTCCCTGCACCCTTCTCACATCCTCCAGTGCAGCTTTCACATTATCAGAACAACCGTGTTCACTCTCCACCTGTTTGTGCATGTGTGTGGGCTGAGTTTATCCTAAACACCTCTATTTCATTTTATTGTGCCACCAGTAACTTTATATAATTTTTAATGGAAAGAGAATACTTGACTCCATCTAAAAAACTATTGTGGTTTCTTCATTTCTTTTCCATTATTCTGGTCTGTACTGAGTTACCAAAAATGACCTGTGTGGTGACTGCTGAGAACATTGCCATTTCCCATGCTTGTGTGAGTCGTGAAAATTATTTATCCCAGAGTTCCCAGTTACTTTCTTATGATACATTGTGGATTTCATTCTTTGCATATGGAATTTAAGTTTCATCATAAAGAGGAGTGGTCCCATTTAAATTATTGGATGTATTATTTTCTGCACAAATCCAACATTTTCAGAACTCTTGCACCTGCCAGGATTCTCAGGTACCTTGGCCTCTGCTTGTCCCTGTCTTCTGTTCAGAGAGTCTCTGTACCTTCTCAGGGCCTCTCTATTCCACTCTCCAGGCTGGGAATCCTGAACACAAATGAAGGATCACAGGGTTGAAATACTTACTCTGTTTTCCCATGGATATCCCAGTGCTGTACTGGTTGTTGCTTGAGCGTCAAAATTATTTGTGAATGATATTTTTGTAGTTTTCCTTTTTCTCATAATGGTTAGTTTGAACTTTTCAATGTTACTCCACCAAATCTGCAGAGGTTTGTAATTTATCTTCATAGTATTTTAACTTTATAGTTCTATGTACTCTAATCTATGAGTAGATTAATATTTGATTATCTACTCTGTTCTATGAGATTAGGTATCATACAATCTCTCAATTTTACTTTGATGCAAACTTCTTGTTATTAACAAGTTTCCAAATACACGCTATTGTGTTTTTTTGTATCTGACTGATCCATACTAAACAAAATCCTTCTTAAGCCCAATGCAAACTTGTGTCTGTTTCTGTATTATTGATGAATTTATTTTTACTCTTCCAACAATATCTTAACAGTGTTTGAATTAATAATGCTTTGAACAATTTTTCATTTCTAGTAGAGAATGTACTAAGCAATTGTTTATGTAAAAAATATCTAAAATGGTGAGGGGCCAGAGAGAGAAAGACCCAAACAATGTATGCATATGTGAATAGATGAATAATAAAAATTTAGGATATTTCTTCATTTACTTTTTTCAAAATAACTGTCAGGCAAAGAAATTCAAGATTCCATCAAATGTTCTAAACAGTTACTTCATTAAGTTCATTTCCTTTGATGAGAAATTATTTTCTTCAAATATTGTCCTTATGCATTTTCCACCCTTTTGTTTCTATGAAATGTGAGTGATTAATTTGTGAAAGTAATATTATAATAAAATATATTAAATCAAACAAATATTATAATAATGCTATCTTTTGGCTGTTATTTCCCCAATATCCACTGTTTATAAATAATAGTGCAATGTGTTTATTACACAATGTAAGTTAGTTTTGGCACTGAATTCCTGAATTTGTAATTTTTGAGTTAGACTTCCAAGTCAGTGAATGAAAAATATTATAATCTAGCAAACAACTAAGCTATCCAGAGCATAGAAGTCAAGGAAAGATAAAGGTGATTAAAGCGAGATGCGGGGAAACAGGAACCCTCTTACACTGGTGGTGGGAATGTAAGACTAGTAACAGACCACTCTGGAAAAAAATTTGGTAGGCTACTTAAAAAGCT